TTTGTGATTGTCGATGACTACTCTAGGTTTACATGGACCTTGTTTCTTACTCATAAAAGTGAAGCATTTCATGTTTTCAAAAATTTTCTAAAGAAAGTTCAAATTGAAAAAGATACAACCATAGTAGCCATAAGAAGCGACCATGGGGGAGAGTTCAAACGAAATCTGTTTTCAGATTTGTGTGACGAACTTGGCATTGATCATAACTTCTCAGCCCCACGTACACCACAACAAAATGGAGTGGTGGAACGTAAAAATAGATGTCTCGAAGAGATGGCTAGAACTATGATCAATGAGGCAAAAATCCCTAAGTATTTTTGGGCGGATGCCGTGAGTACCGCGAGCTACGTGTTAAACCGAGCCGTCATTCGACCGATACTCATGAAAACGCCCTATGAAACAAAGGGAGAAAGCCAAACCTTTCCCATCTTCGAGTCTTTGGTTGCAAATGCTTTATTCACAATAACGGCAAAGATAACTTGGGAAAATTTGATGCCAAGGCGGACGAAGGGATTTTTCTTGGTTATTCTCTTCGCAGCAAGGCCTATAGAGTATTTAATAAACGTACTTTGACTATTGAGGAGTTCCCTCATATTGTATTTTCCGAAGATAATACTCGCTTGGCAAGAAAGGCTATTTGTGATGATCTTGCAGATTCATTGGAGAGAGTACACATTGAGGACGATGAAGAAGACACGCCATTATACACCAACCCGCAACCCGCAACCTGAGGAAACACCTCAAGTGATGGTCGAAAATGAGGACCAAGCGGACGAAGAAGAACACGAGGAAGCCCAGGAATAAGAGGAAACCGAGCTTCCCATCGCTTGGAGAACGCACAAGAACCATCCACTTGAGCAGGTAATCAGCAGCATCAACCGCGGGGTAAGTACTCGTAATTCTCTTAGGGACACCGTAGGTCACATGGCTTTTGTTTCTCAAATTGAACCTAAAACCATTTCCGAAGCAATAAACGATGAACATTGGACCTTGGCTATGCAAGAGGAGCTAAACCAATTCAAACGGAATGACGTTTGGGAATTAGTGCCAAGGCCCGATGATCGTACGATTATTGGTACGAAATGGGTGTCCCGTAACAAACTTGATGAAAATGGAATAATCACTAGAAACAAATCTAGGCTCGTAGCTAAAGGCTACAATCAAGAAGAAGGCATTGATTTTGAAGAAACGTATGCACCTGTAGCACGTTTAGAAGCTATTCGTTTACTTCTTGCTTTTGCTTCGTTTATGGATTTTAAACTTTATCAAATGGATGTTAAGAGTGCCTTCCTCAATGGTTTTTATTCAAGAGGAAGTGTATGTTGACCAGCCCCCGGTGTTTGAGGACTTTGAGTTTCCCGATCACGTCTTCAAACTCAAGAAAGCGCTCTACGGTCTTAAACAAGCACCACGTGCTTGGTACGAACGTTTGAGTAAATTTCTTTTGGATAGTGGTTTCCAAAGGGGAAAGGTAGACACCACACTTTTTATCAAGAGTAAAAACAATAACATCCTTTTGGTTCAAGTTTATGTAGACGACATTATATTCGGTGCTACTAACGAGTCTTTGTGCAAGGAATTCTCAACGCTAATGACTAGCGAATTTGAAATGTCTATGATGGGCGAGCTCACATTCTTTTTGGGACTCCAAGTTAAGCAAATGAAAGATGGCACGTTCATTTGCCAAGCTAAATACTGCAAGGAGCTCCTAAGACGGTTTGAAATGGACAACGCCAAAGCCATGGCGACCCCGATGAGCACGTCTGACCATCTTGACAAAGATGAAAAAGGTAAGGAAGTAGAAGTCAAAAAGTATCGAGGTATGATCAGATCCCTTCTTTATCTTACTGCTAGTAGGCCGGATATCATGTTTAGGGTATGCCTTTGCGCGAGGTATCAATCGTGTCCAAAGGAATCGCACTTAACCGCGGTGAAACGGATCATTAAATACCTTGTCGGCACGGTTAACGTTGGACTGTGGTATCCAAAAGGCTCTTCTTGTCATCTCGTTGGTTATTCCGACTCGGACTTTGCCGGTTTCAAATTAGACCGTAAAAGTACGAGTGGGACTTGCCACTTACTTGGTAGCTCCCTAGTCACATGGTTTAGTAAGAAACAAGTCAGTGTTGCGTTATCCACAACCGAAGCGGAGTATGTAGCCGCCGGTAGTTGTTGTGCTCAAATTCTTTGGATGAAGCAACAACTTGTGGACTATGGCCTTAGTATCGATCACGTTCCTCTCCGTTGTGATAATACTAGCGCCATAAGCTTGACGAAGAACCCCGTTCTTCACTCAAGGACGAAACACATTGACATTAGGCATCATTTCATAAGAGATCATGTTCTCAAAGGTGATGTCGAAATTGAGTTTGTTGAAACACACAACCAATTAGCCGACATTTTCACAAAACCTTTAGAGAAAGAGTCGTTCTTCCGCATTCGAAGTGAACTCGGAATCCTTGACTCCACGATGATCTAAGTTGTGCATCTAAATTTATTAAACGTTTACTAACTTGAGCGTCGGAGAACTTTTTCTTTTTTGCAGGTACCCCGTCCATGAAGTCAGGGGGAACCATGCAAACAGCGCTGTCTAGGAGACACAACAGCGCT